TGGTAGCTCTGAAAGCCTTGTTTGTAAGGTACACACCCCGGGGCTTGCCCAGCACTCTGGGTGTGCCCAGAGTTGAGAGCCCTGAAAAGAGCATTTGAAGGGCTCAAAAGGGGCGAAAGAGAGACAATCAAAATGTATTTCTAGGGGTGTTCATCAATAAAAAATGGCAAAGACAAACAAGTTGGAGTCAACACATAATGAAGGTCTTTAATTGAAAGCTCTGGTCACCCATTCATGTATTTCAACATCTCCATCCTCAAGAAGGAATCTCTGGAAAGGGGAGATGCCAGGGAAGAAGGGCATTGGGGTTGGCTTTGGGCAGCAGCTCTGGAGACCCCCACACTTGGTTCAAGACAGGTAAAGTTTTCAGGCCATTATATTGCCACGACAATAATTCAGGTCCACAACTTTCATGACGTCAAGTGTAGTACACGATCTGAGATTCAGTTGGGGTCCTTAACAAACAACAAAAGAGAAAACCAAAACCATGAGATGCTGGCTTAGATAGTGCTGAGTGATCTGTGCATTTGTAGACAGCCCTTAATACCAGGCAGATTGCACTTGCCTTTTTAATCCCATTAAGCCCCTTCAGGAGCCAAAGCAATGCCCAAAGCAAAGTAAGCAGGGAGTAGAGGGCAATGCTGCCATGCAAGAGCTGAGCCCGAGCTGTACAGCAGCTTTCCATGACATGGCTGGAGGCAATCAGCTTGCAGGAAGGCTCAGAATACTTTGAGGGTGTTCAGGATTATCAGAGTAAAATTTAGTTCCCTCGGATACATTTAAAACAAATGGTTTTTCCCCGTTAATACAAAATTCTTTTGCAAGTGATCAAAATACAAGTAAGGCACCAGCAGCAGCTCAGTCTATAGCAGCTACAACAGTGGCTGCCATTCTACAGGGGTGTATTTTTGTTGCTTGGTTTCTGTCCGTGTCAAGTTGGAAGAGGAGCCTTTGTGCAGTGGTCACTGGCCAAGGGAAAGAAAGTGGCAGGCCAATGGGAGAGAGAATTCCTTTGGTTGCACTCACCTTGAACTTCATAGGTCATGTAGGTGGTGAGTCCGCTGCACATGGCCATGATGTCTGCTCCGTAGGAGTTGAGGTTGCTGACCAATCCCTTGGTCACAAAGGTGATCTTCTTTGTAGGTCTTCCAAGACCGACCTGGTTCTAGAGATCAAACGACAGCATTCAGCAAGATGGGTGCCAGGACGCGTTTCATGGCGGGCACATGGGGAGTTGTGCAGTGACGAGCGGGTGCTTGGGGTGGGAGTGGCAGCTGCCTTTAGTGGTGTCTCTGCCATGGCACAGATCCCTCTCCCTCCCCAAAGGAAAAGAGAGTGTTGACAATGGCAGCTGCAAGGCAAAGGTGTGAGCTGACGAAGGCAGGTTGGTGTTGCAATGACTCTGAAGGCCTTGGAAGGATTGCCATGCCAAAAGCATTGGTGGCCTTGAAGGGCTGCTGAGAGAAAGGGTTTCTCAGCAAATCGCAGAGCTCAGGTTGCTGAGAGAAAGCACAGCTGGCAGAGGGAAGGAGGCCCCCCCTCCTTTCTTGGGACAAAGCATCCCTAGGGGAAATTCCCAAGCCGCACTGCAGTTGAGGGCAAGACAGTCGTGCCACGAGTGACAAGGTGATGCTCTCCAGCAGGAAAAAGCCCAGTTAAGAAATAGCCCAACTGACTGCAGCGAAAGACAGACTTGGCAGGGATGGCTGGGATTATTAAAGTGTTTCAAAATATGTGAAATATAGTCACAGTGCCCATTGCACTCTGCTTTCTTCTCTCTGGTAAGCAAGGAGATGAAATCAGCTTCAGGGTACTCTGACATGAACCTTAAGAAAAGCAAGTCTGCAATTACAGCTAAAGCTGCATCTTTTTGCCTATGCCTTTACTGTGGTCATTCTCCTGTTTCTCGTAGCCTCTCATGGTCTTCTTGTGCTTTAAAGCCTGGATTTTTTTAAGTATTCACTTCTCAGTCTTCAAGGCAAACCAGTGTCTACCAACAGTGAGTGTGCTAAATGCTGAGGTCATTTTTAAAATT